CTGACAGGGTCAGACTGGCTTGTTGTTAAGATTAAAGTTAAGGCAAGTGAACCTCTGTCTAAATACTGGGTGAATGTACAGGTTGGCTTCCATCACTAATCACATCTTTATCTATACACCCTGATAAAGAATGGATCGGTGTTCCAGGAGAAATTCGGGGCTATGAAATGGCACACAAGCTTTATGGAAATTTGCCATGGGCCAACCTCTTCCAGCCAGCTATCCAGCTGGCCAGAGAGGGGTTTAACATTCCAGAAGTTTTAGGCAGCAACATGCAGTCCATCGTGGGCACAAACAAGACTCAGGCTCTCAGGTACAGAAGAAAACATGACTTAAATCATGAAAAAAGATAAAACAGGAGATGCAAAGATTTACCTTGTTTTTTTTCTCTCCTTATGCTCCTCCTTTTCAGAAAGTTATTTTCAAATAAGAATGGAGACTTGCTGCAGATTGGGGACAAGGTTGCTTTTCCCAAGCTGGCCGACACTTTGGAAATTATTGCAAATAACGGAGCCGACAGTTTTTACTCAGGAAAAATAGCAAAGGATTTAATCTGTGATGTGCAGGAGGCAGGTATTGTGAAACGGGCTTCATCAGGCCCTTTGTTCCAAGTGTTTTCTGAATCCATGTGACCAAAATCATCCTGTTTCAAAATAACAAATTATTTCAATCTTTAGGACTCCACATTAGCTCACATCCATTAAATGTGTTGATTTGTATTAAGTTGAGGTTTTGTTTGTTCACCATAACACATTTGTTCTCCTGTTTTTGTTTAGGAGGAAAACTCACTCTGAAGGACCTGGCATCGTACAACGTTACAGTGACTGATGCACTGGCTGTCTCTCTAGGGGAGTATCAGATGTACATACCTCCACCTCCTGCAGGAGGAGTCTTCCTGGCCCTCATCCTCAACATCATGAAAGGTTCCTGTCACACGGCAAAGCTGGGCTGTGTTTAAAATGTTCACGCATGTACAATAACAGTAGTTTAAATCCACTGTGCGCTATAATAGTAGACCGTAATGCTTTTTTACCTGAGCCAGCAGAGAAGGCTCACACTAACATCTCATTACAGTGACTTTGCTACTTTCTGGAAATGCTGATCATTTTCTCAACGTCTGGGGCCTCATTTATAAACTTATATGCATTATATGCATTCATATATTATTTTATGCACAAACAAACTTTGTGATACAAATGAATAAACACAATCTGAAAATAGTAACTGTAAAACAATTGTGGAAAGCCGTTATAACACTTATTAAGTAGACCGGATATCTGAGCAACACTTCTGATTTATAAATGCACAAGTCTAGTTCACTAATATAATTGTTATTTTAGGGCAAGCCGTTTTAACATTTCATCTAAAACAACAGAGGCGTTTTAGGGAAAGCCATGTTAGCAATTAATCCACAACCAGATCTCTCTTCAATTCCTATTTTATATAACAATAATCAATTTTATTCTAATACTAACTGTATTTTTACTAGTCCAAATTGCAAATGAAGATATCAAAAGCTATATTGTTACTAGTAGAAATTATAATTGAGGATATCCACAAGAACAACTGTACTAGTAGGAATTATTTTTGAGATATCTCAAAATCCTAACTAAAGGTTGTCGTTTTAACATTTATTAAGCAGACTGAATATATATTCCAAATATCTATAAATCCATTTTCCTAGTTTTTGACATTCCTGCTATCTAAAATGAACATTTCATATATGTGAAATGTAGGGCTGGGTAATATGGCCTAAAATTAATATCACGATATATTGAGGATTTCACCTCGATAACAATAAATGGATGATAACTACAGGTATGTGCAGAAACAAAAGTTGCCCATTAGATGGGGCTGTCACATGTATTACGTTGAGTCACATTTTTACGTTACTCAAGGTGGTACAGCTTCTTAAAGGTACATGAAGGTTGCCAACCTACACACATCTTTTCATTTTTTTACTATCACATTTATTGACATGGGAAAAATGATCTCGATAAGAGTCTGACATTTCAATGACGATACATTTTCGATTTATTGCCCAGCATAATGAAATGTAATTCTTCCTATGACAAGTGACAGTTGAACGTAGATCTACAGGTAAATTAGGAGCTTTGCCTTCCTGCTCAGCTCTCTCTTCACCGTGACAGATTGGTACAACCATCAACATATATCCTGGACAATTCATCTCCATTGGCTAAAATTATATGGTTTTGTTTCCAAATGGAAGGTTCCCACCACCGCCATTTTGACAGTGTCACACATCCTGTCATGCCCAAACAATCCAAAAATGGGAAAAGAGGTGGAGCTGAGGGTGGGGCTGTTACGGTTGGAACAAATGAACCAATGTAGCTACTTGGCTAACCCAAGAAGCTAAGAAGGGCTCCTGGGACTAGGGCCGCTCAACCGCACGGCAGACTGGCTTCCGTGCAAAGCTGTAGTCATGCTGGTCACCTGTAGAGATCTATTATGAACTGGGACTGTGAAATTACTACCAGAGCCTCAGACTGCTGTGACCGTTGCCGGGCACCGTGGCCTTTTACATCAGTTCTTGCTCCACAGTCGGAGATCAGCGGGACATTAGCTACATGCTGACCCGAAGCTAACAGAGTTTTTTCGAGTGTTTTTAGCAATAAAAATACAGTAGAGCAACTCCAAAGTGAAGGCACCTCTGGCCTGGTAGTAATGAAATCATAACTAGGTAAGCTGACCGAGGATATCGGGCTTCGCTGGTCCACCGCGGTCAAAGATCCACGAGTCTGCCACTGTGTCAACACAGAGCTGAGAGCCTAGTTGACAACGGTGGACCCGTGGATCTTTGACCGTGGTGGAACAGCAAAGCCCAATTGCCTCTGCTATCCTTAGTCAGATATGTAGCTCTAGTTTTTTTTACCCAGCAGCCACACCAACATGTTATATTTCAACCCATCTTAGACAAAGAAGGGTTATGGTAAACGCACAGAATTTCCCCCCATTCAACCAGCAAACTATTAGCGAGAAAAATGTGGCTGAGCAACTCAAAGTGAAGCAGCATCAACTAAAAGAGCTGCAGTGATTCTGTGATCTCCCTCAGAAATCCACCAATGACCAGCATGACTACAGCCTTGCATCTGAGCGGTCCGCAAGTCCCGGCTGCCCCAGGAAATGGGAACAGCCAGCTGCCTGCTCTAGCAACTGTTCCTGTGTAGAAAACAGGAGAAGCTAAGCACCCCCTAAAGTTTCTCATGCAGCCTAACATGTTTGACCAAGAAGTTAAATGACACAGCATTTCCCCCATTCATTTAGCAAAATAAAGCACAGAAATATAAATGTACTTACTGATAAAAAGAAGCGGAAGCTGCTTGGATGATCTGTTAGTGCAGTTAATAATCACAGCTTGCCCTGTCGTCCAAATAATTCCATGATCAACATCCAAACACACACACACACACACACACACACACACACACACACACACACACACACACACACACACACACACACACACACACACACACACACACACACACACACACACACACACACACACACACACACACACACACACACACACACACACACACACACAACTAAAGTTCGGAGAGTCAAAATGGCCAAACATCTATTAACGTGAGGCTGAGGCCTTTCTACGGAGCTAGCTCTGAAGTCACGTGGCTCTGATGCTCATTAATTATTCAGAAATTTAAGCATTAAATTACACTTAAACAGAAGAGTTACAAAAATGTTTACCCCTCTCAGAGTTGTCATGAATGTAAACAAAATCTACTAAACCTAAAATGATTTTTTGAACCAGGCTGTAAATTTTTTTTATTTCCGCTGTTAAATAGGGAGCCTAAGTCACTTCCGCATCATGGGTCCTCAGAAGAATGAAAAAATTAATGCAAGTCAACGGGGCTAAAACGCTATTTTCTAATCTGCTTTGCCTTAAACCCTGGATCGCACATATGTTGTACTGCAATTTAAATGAAAAGTAAATAAGTGTTTCGACCATGCCAGTCATACTTTGAGATTTATTAGCTTGTAAAAGTTTGTAATTAGCATGACTACAAACTAGAAATCAGCGCCACAGAATCTCCTCTCCCTAAAGTAGCTGTTACTTACCAAATGACCAGATTCATGGTGGTTCTTTCCTACTGTGGGAAGTTTGCTGAACTTACAGCCCTTTTCCCTCAGTTTTCTCCGTGTCTGGTTCGATGACGTCACTTTCGAGAAGCGCATTTGTAGTCCTGGACTTATTTTCACACAAAACCTAAAATAGCATTTCCCCCTTTCAAAATTAAGCATGTTCTTGGTATCAAAATGTAACTTTAAAATTCACAGACATCATGTGAAATCCATGCCACAAAGCAAGCGGAATTAGAAAACAGCGTTTTTAGCCCCATTGACTAGTAACAGTGGATTGTAACAGTGTCCTGTTTCAGTTGTGACAGCAGGTGTTCCTACATAGCTTACGTCTCTAAAAAGACCTTAAAAAGTGGTTTAGTGTGAATGGATCGCATCATCTAACTATGGTCTCCATTTAAACAAATGCTTGACTGGAAACAGGTAGCATATTTCACACAATGGGAGCTAGGAATAAGGTGGATACATGTGAATATCTAGTCTGGCCACAACCCAGCAGATCTCAGTCATGAGCTGGAATCTATGATTGTCTTTCAAACTGCATCCACATGCTTTTGGACAGCGAGCGTGACATACTCACCACCAAGGATGTCAGTTGACGGGTCAGTCCACCATACACTGTTGAAGAAGATGCAAATATAATAATATAATTTTTCTAAAAAAAAAAGAGGACTTTAGCACATCTTTCTGCTCTTGACTTAAAGAAATACCAAAGTCTAAATAGTCCAAAGTTGATGCCAAAGCTGTTTCAAATGAGCCGCTGCCATCTTTGTTGTTTCGTTCAGTTGTAGTAACATCCCTTACACCATACTGATAGAGCACTGTGGGAGTGAGTGAACTCAGTTTTTTAAACACATTTAAGTGATACAATTAAGCACATTATAAAATGTATGTGTTCAACATGTTCATCTAAATGTTTGGCTGTATTTGTTGCGTGTAGTTATGTGCTAGCGTTACCATTAAAAAAAACCTTTTATTGAAATAAACGGCATACTTTGATATTGAAAAAAGCAAATAAAACCTTTTTTGTTTGCAGGATATTATTATGAGCAACCAGCACCTCTGTCCGCTGGTGAAAAGGTTTTGTTTTATCATCGCTACATTGAAGCTTTAAAATTTACCAACGCACTGAAGTCAGACCTCTATTATTCAAGCCTTTCTTCAGAACAAGTGGGTATCACAACATGGTGGTGGTGCATTATGCAGGTGATTAAGGCCTTCACCTTACAGCTAAAAAGATCTCTGATATGAATATGGCCTTTCTGTGTGGTGTTTGCATGTTCTCTGCATGTTTGTTATTTCAAAGCTGAAGGTGCTGGCAGGGAAGGCATACATGGAACGCCACAACCAAGTGGCTGGCATCATGTACAGAAACATCTGTGCAGAGTATGGACTGGAAGTCCCAAGGTAACACCCCCTAAGGTGGTTGAGAACGAGAGAGCCAAGCTCCTGTGGGACTTCCAGATCCAGACTGACAAATGGTGATAGCGAATCATCCAGACATAGTGGTGGTGGACAAACAATAGAAGACAGCCGTTGTGGTTGAAGAACTTGAGAAAGCCTGGAGAGTGAAGGCATCTGTGGTGCGCGTGGTCATCGGGGCACTCGGGGCTGTAGCCCCCAAACTGGAGGAGTGGCTAAAGCAGATTCCAGGAAAAACATCAGACATCTCAGTCCAGAAAAGTGCAGTTCTAGGAACAGCTAAGATACTGCAGAACCCTCAAGCTCCCAGGCCTCTGGTAGAGGACCTGAGCTTGGAAGGATGAAACCACCCACAGAGAGTGATGTAGCAATACATATTAATTGTGACCAGTAAGATGTGATATTCCATACAAATATGAAACATCCATCTGATTGATCTTTGAACGTTTAATCAGAAGATTCTAGGGTTCTTTGCTTATTCAGGGACCATAAACATACTTCGTATTAATTCAGACAGAGTCAGTATATAGTTTATGAAATGAATTTAATTCTTTTTCCTAAACTAATGATACATGACAAGATATGAATAAGGAGATATGATGTGGTGGATGAGAGGTGTTGTGATGGAAGCTAGATGTTCTAACAACCGTTCTTTGTATCTGAGAGAAATTGTGAAATCTGGTGTAAAAGAATTTGTTGTTGTTATAAACTAGAGAGTTGGTTATTGATGAAAACCTCATCAGACACAACTATGCAGGCTAACAATACCCTTGTATGAGTTGCTCCCGGCGGTCCGGAGGGTTGCGGTCAGAGTGGTGAGGTCACTGGACGTTGAAACCACAATACTCAGAGATTAGTAGCTTCCTCTGAGTTCAGCTTCCCCGGCCATGAGATGCAACCCATGGTCTGCAGATTAGGTGTGAAGTAGCTCTGAAAAGAGCTGTTGTGCCTGTAATCATTTGCAGCATTGCAGATAGGTTTTGACTTGAGCCTGAGTCGTGCTTCTGCGTCAGTGCGGAGACACACAACACCATTATCCTTCCTTGCGAGACTGCTGGAGAGCCCTCGCAAGGACGGACGGAGTCGAGCTCGCTTGTCTAAACATCCGTCTATCGAGATGGAGAACGCAAGCTTGTGCTTGGTCAGGGCACCGCTGTCGTCTACACTGCCACCATTGTTTCCTCAAAAACATAAAGAGAGCCGAGGATAACTAGCGGCAGACACGGAAAACCTTGAAGAATACCTTGCAAAAAACCTCTAAAATTATGAACGTTTAATTCCCCCGTGACTGGAGGAGTGAAAAGATATGCAGCAGGCTTTTTATTTGTGGATGGAAATGACAGGAAACGTGGGTTTAGAGGTGGCGAGCGCATGAAGAGGTGGAGGAGAATGAGAGACAAAATTGTCTGTGTTAAAAAGTCTCTTATACACACAAAAACAAACAAACAATATAAACACACTATCTTGGACCGGATACAGGACAGGATACCACAGAACAGCGCTTCGCCCTCTGTTGTCCTGGCGGGGAATTGCTTTGCAACACTTCCCAGGAGATGGAGAGGTATGAGGGCAAAATGTCTCCGTCCGTGCGTGCCTGTCTCTCCCTTTTGGAGCTGACGGAGAAGTATAAATTAGGCTTTAAGGTCAAAGGAGATTGTTTCAGTGGATGGGAGGTTTTTTTTATACTCATCCAGACCACTCCAGAATTCCTCCTTCATTTCCAGCTCACATCCTACGTGTGGGACATAACCATAAAAAGTTGATAATTTTCCCTTCAACTTCAAGCACTAGACTCATCGGCCAATCTGATACTCTTTTCACTTCCAGAACATTCTTGACAAACTCCTCATTCAGTATAATGCCTACTCCGTTTCTTTTCTTTACACCATGGTGGAACAAATTAAAAAATTCTCCTATTCTTATAGTCTTGCTTTCTTTATGTCTGGTCTCCTGAACATAAAGTATATCCACCTTCCTTCTCTGCATCAAGTCCACCAGATAGCGTTACTTGTCATTGTTCAAACATTCAGAAACCTTGTTTTCAGTTCTACAGTCTTGCCTTTCCTTTCCTTTCCTTTCCTTTCCCAAACGCTTTTTCCTCTCCTCCACAAACCATCAGCAATCCATATTCTCGACAACCTGTAGGTCAGCAGCACCGGTGGTGGTGGTGGTTGTTAACCTATGCCTTGACTGATCCAGTAGGAAATCCCTATTTGAGATTTGCATGTTTGATTTGGGTTAGGGTTTATGTCGAATACCCCTTCCTGGCACATCTCTCTAAATGTATCTACCTGCACAAGCAATCACTGGCATGCGAACTCTTATGGTTGGTTTTTAGGATTAATTAGCTGTTTAGACTTTGACACTTTGTTCAAATATTTAACCTTTTCATTATACTCTAATTGTTTGAGAAATTGAATTTGGGGTTTTCATAATCTGCTACAATTATAACAAACAAAGGCTGGAAATATCTCGCTTTGCATGTATTGAGTCTGTCTCATATATTATTTTCACCTTTTAAATGACTAAAATAAATGCACCTTTGCACGATATTCTAATTTTTGGAATTTCACCTGTAAGGATATTTTTTAGCATGCATTTATCTGTGCTTCAACTCATCTCTAGATTTTAGAGAAAGCAAAGGAATGTACTACAGACAGCTTTGCCAGTTCCATACAGCATAAGATCAACAACAACATACAAGCACTCCAGTACAGCTCTAATCTGGACAGCCTGGGTACTACTCACTTGTCTGTGCTGGCAGAAGATGGATCTGCTGTTTCAGTCACCAGCACCATCAACAAAATGTAAGTATTTGAATAGTTCTAAAGTTAAATACCAACCAGCACAATTCTCTGTTAGTATGTAGGTAAACAGATTAAGGTTTAAAGTGGCAGTGTGTAGTTTACTGACGACCAGTGATGGGAATACCATTGTTTAAAATGACAGCGTTACTAAAGAAATAGTTTCTTTCGGTATCGAGTAATCTAATTAATTATCATCTTCTTTTATCATAACATCGTTTCCATTACTGATAAGAAAATGTGTGGGTTACTAATTCAGCAGCACAGTGGGTTGAAGCAGTCATCAGCTGATTGAGAGCTAAAGAGGCGGATGTTTTCATCCAAGTGCATCACGGCCCGTGGAGAACAAGGAAGACGTGATGAATAGTTTATGGCTGCAGACCCACAGATTCGCTGCTGCAGGCGTGAATCTGCAGCCGTGCCCTTCTTGGCGTGACGTCCCGAAGGTCCGCTCACCTGTTCACCGCTCAGACGTCACGATCTTCTACCTTCCTAGATTGTCCAACTGTGACCTGTTTCTGATCATTCTTTAGTCCCGCTGTAAGACTGATTGCATCAGTTTCAGACGTCATGGACGCTCAGGTGTTATTAGAACTACCTGTGTGTCTTTACCACCCAGCTTCTGTGTTTGGGTCTGACCAAAATTAGTAAATGTAAGTCCTCCATCAGATTTGCGTCTCTTCTAGTGTCATTTTAAAGGATATTTATTTATTCCTTTAACCATTGCTAGATTACCAGCAACAGAAACGCTACTAAAAACACACAATTATGTGTAGCTGGAAAAATTTATATAGTGTGCAAAATTACATTTATTTCAGTCATTCAAGTAGACTGAGAGACCATGTAAAGGCTCAGCAACCTTTACAGGTGTTTCTATTTGCAATTATAAATTTTAGCTTTTTGGGGTCTTGTTAAATATCACACAGTGACATTTTAATAGTTTACATTATGTTTTTGTTTGTAGTTACTGCTGTTAAGTGCCCATTAATTTAATTTATTTAATTTTATAAAAACATTTGTACATACATTTGATTACGTTCCAGTCATTAGTCATTTATATTTCAGTATTGTAGTAATTTATAGTAAATAGAGTAAGTTTAATTAAGAAGGGAACCCATTTTTCTTGCACCCTTTAATGGAAAAAAGTAACGACGTAATTATTTTTCTTGGCAATTAGTTACTTATATAATCTTGTAACTTGGTAAGTTACTGAGTCACTTTTTTGACAAAGTAATCAGTAACATATTACTTTTTAAAAGTAATGTTCCCAACACTGCTGATGACAGGGGGAAGTACATTCATTTCAGGGGAGTTTTACACCATATCGTCCTGACTGTCGCTAGTAAAAAAAAAAAAAAAAAAAAAGCATTACGTAAATGTTGCATGCAACTTTGGGGTGACTCCTCAGACTTTGATGGTCCTTCAGTTAATGCAATACAGATTGTATTTTCTGGTGCTGTACTTTCCGGATCTGCTCTGGGTCCTGCCCCTGCCGATGACATCATCATACTACGGCAATACCGTTGACCAAAATGTATAGCATCTTTTTTTTCTATTCTGTTCTTTCACATAGGTTTTGGAAATAGTTTAGCAATTTTTGTTAGTAAATTTGTGTTTCTTACTACCTAAATGCTTTTGAAATTGGTAATGTAACTTTCGTAAGTCATATGTCAAGCCAATCATCTAGTGTGACATCAACAGGTGCAGGACCCCGAGCCAGCCAGAAGGAAATATGGCATCTAATATGGCATCCCCCAAAGATGCTAGACCCACGCCCTACGTATGTTAGACCTGATTTTTATGGTTACATGTTACGAAGCCGCCAATATTTTTCAACAACTGAGCATAATTTTATTCATTTTCAACATTTTGATGGGTATTTCCAGAGGTAACGGTAAAGCTACAGTTTTTTTAAGGGGATATATTGGGGAACAGTGGCAGAGGAATAAAGTGCTTGCCCTGTAATCTGATTCTATATATTTTGATGTCACAATAAGGAAACTTCGCATATAACGTTTTTTTTACTTTGGTGTTATAGAATCAAAATTTAGTTATAATTTTCAACTATTTTCTCAACAGATTTGGCTCCAAGATTTACTCCCCAAGCACTGGAATCATCCTCAACAACCAACTTTCTGACTTTTGTCAGAAAGACAAGACTATGTTAAAAAACATCTCTACTGGTAATTTGATGAATACGCTGCATTTTCATATAATCTGCAAACATGAAATAATACAATTTTATATATGTGCAACTAGAACTGGATAACATGGCCTAAAACAACAATTGCAATTATTGGGACTTTAAGCACCTTAGAAAAAATATTAAATATGTTCTCTTTTCTATTATAGCTGGTGAGATAAAAAAAATAAAAATAAAACACTCTGCATCCTTTTTCTTCCATGGTTGGACATTTTCTCATTTCAAGCTTGGGTCTTTTGAGGGTTAACTACAGTAGCTTGACTGTTCCTAGAACTGCAGACATCCTCACCAACAACATCCCTACTAAATGGTGGATTTTCATGATATTCTGATGTGAAATAGGCAACTGTAACAAGGACCACTGGACAATGACAGATAATTTGACAATATCAGTATGCAGCTCTGTGAGTAAGCCTAATGAATGAGGCTTTATGGTGCTGCTCTCAGCAACTTGTAATACCAATGATCACACTGTCCCAAAGCCACTACATTGGTATCAGTGGCTGTGCACCTAAATACAATAGTTCACCTCTTGTTTAATGTGCTTTCCTTTCCTCTGTCTTGTGGGGTACACCAAGGTTCTATTCTTGGTCCACTCGGAAAAATAATTTTGGCAATACCCATTTTTTCATTTAATGCAGATAGCTGTCAGATTTATTTGTTCTTATGACATTGTTATCAGTGCTTCCTTTCTAATGGCATCTCCATTGCGAAACAAATGTTAAATAATTGAACATGTGGGCGACGGTGGCACAGGAGTTAAGTGCTCGCCCCGTAATCGGAAGGTTGCAGGTTCGAGCCCTGCTCAGTCTATCGCTGTCGTCGTGTCCTTGGGCAAGAAACTTGACCCACTTTGCTTGCTGGTGGTGGTCGGAGGGACCGGTGGCGCCTGTGCTCGGCAGCCTCGCCTCTGTCAGTGCGCCCCAGGGCAGCTGTGGCTACATCGTAGCTCATCCCCACCAGTGTATGAATGTGTGTGTGAATGGGTGAATGACTGATTGTGTTGAAAAGCGCCTTGGGGGGTTCCAGGACTCTAGAAGGCGCTATATCAAATACGGGCCATTTACCAATTAATAATAAAAAAGAAGTGCGGTTCTAGGAACAGCTAAGACTGTGCAGAACCCTCAAGTTCCCAGGCCTCTGGTAGAGGACCCGGGCTTGGAAGGATGAGACCATATGATAAATGTAGAAGCAAAAATCAAATTTACAAATAAACTTTTTCTTAATTTCATTTATTTGGCCCACCCGTTTTTTAGGCCCAAATGAAAAGCAGTTTCTGGTTACTTTATTGGTCTGAAATAATCTTTTTGGGTGGGGAGGCTACCATTTACATCATTGCTTAAAAATCAACTGTGGGTGATTTTAGAATTGAACATTTCAAAACAAGTTGATTCAATAGTCAAATTAAGTTTATATCAGCTTCATCTTTTAATAATAGTGCCAACCATTTTACACTATGTTGATCTTGAGAGCCAGAAAAGATTACTGTAATGGTCTTTCTGTCAGTGCCTGTCAGTCATCCATTAACAGGCTTCAGTTAGTTCACGATGCAGACATCTCCAGAGCCCATCACCCCCGTCTTATTTTCCATACATTGTCTTTTTGGCCTAATGAGCATCAATCCTTTTAGCATCCCTACACTGGCTTCCCGTCTTTTTTAGAATAAAATTTAAGGTTCTGGTGTTTTTTAAATGTTTAAACGAGTATGCTCCACGATATCTATCAGATCTGATCTATTCTCACGTTCCATCAAGGCCCCTTCGGTCAGTGGAGCAGGGAGTGTTGGTTTCACCCAAACACAGACTCAAATCACACGGGGGTCATGCCTTTTCAATACTGGGGCCAAAGCTCTGGAATGAGCTGCCTGCAGGTGTCAAGCCGGGCCCGTCGCTCAGCACTTTTAAGAGCTGACTGAAAACATATCTTTATACAATGGCTTTTACTGACGTGGAGTCTCGTTTATGGGGGGTTGTTGCAGTCTTGTGCGCTCCTACCTGGATTTTATCTACAAGTTTTTGCCGGAGCTTTTAATTGCTTTTAAAAATGTTTTTACTCTTTTATGTCACTTTATGTTGTGTAGCGCCTTCACATGGCCCTTAAATAAAGTAGATTGACTGGTTTCAAATAGTAAATGGCCTGTATTTGATATAGCGTCTTCTAGAGTCCTAGAACCCCCCCCAAGGCGCTTTACAACACAATCAGTCATTCACCCATTCACACACACATTCACACACTGGTGGGGATGAGCTACAATGTAGCCACAGCTGCCCTGGGGCGCACTGACAGAGGCGAGGCTGCCGAGCACTGGCGCCACCAGTCCCTCCGACCACCACCAGCAGGCAACGTGGGTTAAGTGTCTTGCCCAAGGACACAACGACAGCGACAGACTGAGCGGGACTCGAACCTGCAACCTTCCAATTACGGGGCGAGCACTTAACTCCTGTGCCACCGTCGCCCCAAATAGGGTTTAAACTCTGTTGGTTTTTATTGCTCTTAACAGTTTGGTCCAACCTTATATCTTCAATAAAGTCTGTCAGTGGCAAATCTCTGAGGTCATGTTTCCAGGCTCTTTTGAATGTTTTTAGAACTAAATATAAACACCGGGGTGGCCAGATTTTCTCTGTTTAAACATCCAGACTTCGGAACCAGCTTGCGCTGGATGTACACTTCATCACTGATCTAGGCCTAAGACTTAAAACTAAAACTTTTAGTGTGCGTCACATTTTTGAAAAATCTTTTGGGGCAGCATGTGTGAGTTTGAACTCTAATGCAAGAGGTGCCTGCCACATTCAATTTGAAATTAGTCAAAAATCTCAAAAGAAAGTGATCACATGGTCTCACCTGCTTTTGTTGGCTTTTATTGTGTTCACAGGAGAGCGCCCCCCCTCCTCCACAGCCCCCATTGTTCTAAAGGCTCAGTCAAATATTCTTGTGATTGGAGGGTCTGGTGGAAGTATGATCACAACTGGAATTGCCTCGGTATGTTAACATGACAATCATACAAGTCACACATGGGTATCTTCACCTAATCCATGATACTTTTTCATCACTTGTCCTATGGATGGTTACAGTATTTTATTTGTTTCTGTTTCAGGCCCTCATCAATCACCTTTGGTTTGGAAAAAGCCTTAAAGAAGCAATCGATATTCCTGTAGTTTATGTTTCCTCAAGTGAAACAATGATAGAACCAATCTTCGATAAGGTAAAGCATTCAAGGTGTTCATAAGGTCAAAAACACATGTATTCTGCTTGCGCTGTATCTAATATGTCCCTCTGCCCTGCCACACAGGATGTAATCACAATTTTGAAATCTAAAGGCCATAAAATAGGTAAATTCTACAACGTGGTTAATGCTGTGGAGAAGATGGGTGGCTGCATCTGTGCAGTGTCTGATGCCAGGAAACACGGGGAAGCGGCTGGTTTTTGAGAACAAGTCAGTCAAAAACAGCACAAAGAAGGAAACTGTCCTGCTGGAAAATCAAAACACTTCAAATTAGTTCCAGCATGCAGTATTTTACTGGAAACAACAATACACCATACACTTGTTATTAATCTTTTAGCCTTAGGTTCTGTTAGTTTAGTTTTCCCCTACGCTCACCAGTCATTGCCTTTGCACACCTGTCCTGTATCAGATTAGCTGGTTTACTTTGTCTCTCTTTAATCTCCATTCCACAGTTTAAAAATGTCCTGGTTCATTCACTTGCTGTCAGATTGTCTTGTTTCATTTCTGCTGTCATGCCTGTATTCATGTTAATGTAAGTTTTATTCTTTTATGGTGTCTATAAAGTTTTAAATCTCTTTCAAAACTAGAAATTACATGACTTTATAAGATGAAGTCTTGACTTAAGCAGGGAAATAAGGCCCTCTAGTGATCAAGTTGAGCAAACAATAAGTGATTGTCTGGCTTGTAGGGACTTCCAGCTTTCAAAATGAACCAAATGACAAAATAAATAATTGAGATCTATTTTAATAGATCAACGGTTTTTTTAATAATCCATGTTGTGCCTACGTACCCTTGTTCTTGGAGACCCCTGTTTGGATCCGAGATGTCAGGGAGTCTGGTGACCCCAGTTTCTCGAGGTTTGTAGGATAATAGCAAGGCAACCAAATCAGTCCTGAGATGTCTCACAGTCACAACCGATAGATGGATTTGTTTGCATCTAGAATAGCTGTTTCTGAATAGCTGAAGGAGCCGTTAGCTGACTTTGCTGTAGCTTGCAGGCAGGCTTTCCCAGCGTGCCAAAGGATGCGGTGGTTCAATGAATTTATTCCGGGTGGTCGTCTCGGGGTTCTACTCAAAAACTGAATCACTCAGGAAGTGATTTCTGTTTTAATAATTGCCATATTATGATTACATGGCCATTCAGGACTTGCCATGTCAAGAGGTGTTAACAAACAACCCTCAGAACATCACGCCTTCTTTCAGATAGAAAGTGCTCTGATTTATGGATAAGAAAATCTCATGTGCATGAAATTACTTTAACCTTGTGTCATATGGAGATATGCATGTGTGTATGAGAGAATGGCTGATTAGCTTGTCACGTAGACTGATTATAAGACAAATGGATCATTGCAGGACAATATTCACTTCAACCTTATTAACTTAGGCACAAATTACTCAAAACATTTCATTTAATACCTTGTCTATTCATTGTATGATTAATTAACTCATACGAGCTGAAAATGTCCACTTTTATCCAGAGGCAGGAGAAATCCTGTAGAAGCGATAAGAGGAAAGCTTAAGGCCTTGAAACGGGAACAGTTTGTTGACCATATATTATCCTGTGTGCAAAGCTGCAGAGGCCTGGACTTCAGCTAGTAGAATAGCAGAATCCAGCAGATAGTTTGACCTGTTCTTGCCAGTGATGTAGGTCAAATATATAGATGAAAAACTAACCATTTCTGGACGCTAAACTTAGCAACGCAGCTTCGGGTCTTTGCAATTAAAATCTTTGACCTCAGTCAAACCCCTCCTCCCACAAATTCTTAGGGGTATGCTCTTCTTCCTCCTGTCTTGGAGTGGGGATCTTGTCAATGGTAACCTTTCTCAATCAGAACATCCCTCTTCACCACCTGGAGTGAGATCAAGTCATGGTCAATCGCACTGGTACGCAGTCCATTTAATTTCAATTGGTCTCATGTTTAAGGTGAACCTTTCCATCAGTAAGTGACAAGGCCAAATTATCTTGAATCTAGTCATGTGCCATGATGGGGTTTATGTTTTAGTATTTCACAAAGACAAACATCACTGCCACCAAGCCTCTGGTCAGCACATTGGGCGAGGTGAGTTTGGGGTCCTTGCAGTTCTTGAGCAGCATCTGGCCTCTGGTGGTCTTTTTAGTCTCCAAGGGCGAGGTCCATGGTTTTTGTTTGTTTTTCTTTCTAGCTGAAATGGCGATTGTGTATTTCCTTTATGTCCTTCACCATAAGCGAGGGCCCAACTTATTTTTTGACTCAACTGTTGGGAGAGAGACACAACAATTTGCCTGAAGATGGATGTTTAAGGTGTCCCCGCCCAGAGTGCATGACCTCACTCAAGATACAGATGAAGAGATTTACAGCTTTCATATTACATAAGGGGAAGTGGGATCAGCCTTAGTTTTTCATCCTTTGTCAAAATTCCTAATAAAAAATATTGGATCTTGTGAAATGTTATAAAAACTGCCGTGTCTCTGTCTCCATTAGTGACATCATTGAGCAATGGTTTTGAGTATTAAAATCAATTAACCTAGGATCTATTGAAAGAAACCACTTCATTTTTAATAAAAATCCTACTAAAAATTATCAGATCTTGTGAAATGTGATAAAAACTGCTGTGTCTCATTGGTATAGCTAAGTAACGTCATTGAGAAATGATTTTGGGTATTTTGACTAATTTACCTAGGAGGTTTTGAAAACCTCTTAGGATGAAATATATAAATGGAAACCATGTTCCCTCGCCCGGACTTTGGTCACCGGGGCCCCCCTCTGGAGCCAGGCCTGGAGGTGGGGCACGTTGGCGAGCGCCTGGTGGCCGGGCTTTCAGCCATGGAGCCCGGCCGGGCACAGCCCGAAGAGGAAACGTGAGTCCCCCTTCCCATGGGCTCACCACTCGTGGGAGGGGCCAAAGGGGTTGGGTGCAGTGTGTGACGGGTGGTAGTCAAGGGCGGGGACCTTGGCGGTCTGATCCTCGGCTACAGAAGCTGGCTCTTGGCACATAAAATGTCACCTCTCTGGTGGGGAAGGAGCTTGAGTTGTTGTGTGAGGTTGAGAGGTTCCGACTAGATATAGTCGGACTCACCTCAACGCATGGCTCTGGCTCTGGAACCAGTTTCTTTGAGAGGGGTTGGACTTTCTACCCCCCTGGAGTTGCTCCCAGTGAGAGGCGCCGAGCAGGGGTGGGCATACTAGTTGCCCCCCATCTTGGTGCCTGTACGTTGGGGTTTACCCCAGTGAATGAGAGGGTAGCCTCCCTCCGCCTATGTGTGGGGGGACGGGTTCTGACTGTGGTCTGTGCTTATGCACGAAACTACAGTTCAGACTACCCACCCTTTTTGGAGACCTTGGAGGGGGTGCTGGAAAGCGCTCCTTCCGGTTACTCCCTCGTTCTGCTGGGGGACTTAAACGCTCATGTGGGCAAAGACAGTGAGACCTAGAGAGGTGTGGTTGGGAGGAACGCCCCCCCCCCCCCCGATCTGAATTTGAGTGGTGTTTTGTTATTGGACTTCTGTGCCAGTCATGGATTGTCCATAATGAACACCGTGTTCAGACATAAAGGTGTCCATATGTGCTTTTGGCACCAGGATACCTTAGGCTGCAGCTCGATGATCCACTTTGCTGTTGTTTCATCTGACCTGCGGCTGCAAGTCTTGGACACTCGGGTGAAGAGAGGGGCGGAGCTGTCAACTGACCACTACCTGGTGGTGAGTTGGCTCAGATGGTGGGGGAGGATGCCGTTCAGACCAGACAGGCCCAAACGTATCGCAAGGGTCTGCTGGGAACGTCTGGCAGAGTCTCCTGTCAGAAGAAGCTTCAATTCCCACCTCCGACAGAACTTCCAAAATGTTCTGGGGGAGGCGGGGGACATTGAATGGTCTGAATGGACCCTGTTTTGTGCCTCCATTGTTGAGGTGGCCGACCGGAGCCGTGGTCGCAGGATCATCGGTGCCTGTCGTGGAGAGGAGGGTCCGTCGGATTGTTTGAACCTCAGATTCAGGAGGAGCAATGTGGTTTTCGTCCTCGCCGTGGAACACCGGACCAGCTCTATACCCTTAGGGGGATCCTGGAGGGTGCGTGGAAATTTGCCCAACCAGTCTAAATGTGTTTTGTGGATTTGGAGAAGGTGTTTTACCACATCCCTCGGAGGGCCCTGTGGGGGTACTCCGGGAGTATGGGGTACCAGGCCCTCTGATTCGGGCTGTTAGGTGCCTGTATGACCGGTGTCAGAGCTTGGTCAGCATTGCCGGCAGTAAGTCAGGCTTGTTCCCAGTGAGAGTTGGACTCCGCCAAGGCTGCCCTTTGTCACAGATTCTGTTCATAACCTTTAGGGACAGGATTTCTAGGCGCAGCCAAGATGTGGAGTGCATCAGTTTTGGTGGCCTGAGGATCAGGTCTCTGCTTTTTGCAGATGATGCGGTCCTGTTGGCTTCATCAGAACGTGATCTTCAGCTTTCGCTGGAGCGGTTCGCAGCCGAGTGTGAAGCAGCTGGGATGAGAATCAGCTGCTCTTAATCTGAGACCATGGTCTTGATTTGGAAAAGGGTAAAATGCCTTCTCTGGGTCAGGGATGAGGTCCTGCCCCAAGTGGAGGAGTTTAAGCATCTCAGGGTCTTGTTCACGAGTGAGGGAAAACTGGAGCGTGAGATCGGTAGGCGGATTGGTGCTGCATTTGCAGTGATGTAGGCATTGTACCGGTCTGTCGTGGTGAAGAGAGAGCTGAGTCAGTAGGCGAATCTCTTGATTTACCGGTCGATCTATACATTCCTATCCTCACCTATGGTCATGAGCTTTGGGAGTGACCGAAAGAACGAGATCGTGGACACAATCGGCCGAAATGAGTTTTCTCCGAAGAGTGGCTGGGCTCTCCCTTAGAGATAGGGTGAGAAGCTCGGTCATTCGGGAGGGGCTCGGAGTAGACCCGCTGCTCCTCCACATCGAGAGGAGCCAGTTGAGGTGGCTCGGGCATCTGGTCAGGATGCCTCCTGGAAGCCTCCCTGGTGAGGTTTTCCGGGCACGTCCAACTGAGAGGAGACCTTAAGGTAGACCCAGGACACGGTGGAGGGACTATGTCTCTCACCTGGCCAGGGAACGCCTTGGGATTACCTGGAGGAGCTGGCCCAAGTGGCTGGGGAGAGGGAAGTCCGGACCTCTCGCCTTAGGCTACTGTCGCCACGACCCAACTCCGGATAAGCGGATGGATGGATGGATGGTTTAGAAAAAAAATCCCTTTATTTTTGATGAAAATGATAAAGATCGGATTGTATGAAAGGTCATTGGTCTGGCATAGCAACACCATTAAGAAATTATCTTGTGTATTAAAATCAATGAACCTAAGACCTGCTGCAGCCGTTACGCATGGGGGGCTTGAGAATCCTGTTCTATTATGACGACCTGCTCCTCCTGGCCCTTTCCCAGACGGAAGCGTAGTTGCAAACGAGGACGCTGGCATTGCATCTGATCACACTGGGCTTCTCCATAAACTGGCAGAAGAGCTCCATGATCCCATCCTAGTCCATCGTGTTCCTGGGTGTGGCCCTGAACTCCGGCTCCATGAGAGCTCGTCTCTCCCTGGAGAGAACAACGGACTTGATCGCCCTAACCCACCGTGTGCGACCGCAGCGCACAGTCACAGCACTGTCGGTAATGAGACTTCTGGGCATGATGGCGGCGGCCCATGTTGTGGTGCCACTCGGGTTATTACACATGAGGCGCATTCAATGCTGGTTCAGTCGCCTCAAGGTGGACCCCATACGCCACAAAAGGCGCATGATACTCGTCCCCACCTCAGTGAAGGTGAAGGGAGACCTACAGCACTGGTCAAACCCCGACACCCTGCTGCAGGGAGTTTCTCTTGGGCAAGTGACGTCACACGTGTCTGTGTTCACGGATGCATCCCTGTCGGGGGTGGGTGGGGTGGGTGGGTTGGGGGGGGGGGGGGGGCACGTGCTTATCCCATCCTGTGGGTGATCGGTGGGCCCCCCACACGAATGCCCACTGGAGCTTATGTCGGTGCAGAATGTGACATTACATTTCACCCCCCTCCTCCGGGAATGCACATCCCGGTCCTGGGCCAGCACCTGTGGGTTTGGCCGCTGAACGGTCTCATCTGGAAGCATTGGGCCTAACTTCTGATGTGGTCCAAACCATTCAATCTTCTCGCACCCCCTCCACTGTAGCTTCTTATTCTGCGAAGTGGGATGCTTTTCAGCATTGGTGCCAGGACTGGCAGGTCGACCCGCTGTCGTGCCCCTTGGCCAACGTGTTGTCATTTTTACAGATGTTGATGGACAGGGGCCTGGCCTTCAGTACTGTTAAATCCTATGGGGCCGCTGTTTCTTCTTGTCACCAGGGGTTCGGGGATAGGTCTGTTTTCAGCCACCCTCTTACCAAGCGGTTTCTGAAAGGAGTGAGACGTCTTAGACTGGTGCAGTACTCACTAGTCCCTCAGTGGAATTTGGGAGTGGCCTTGCTTTGGCCCCGTTTGAACCACTGTTTTTTTAAAACATTTTTTAAAGTAGAGGTACGAAAGATTTATAACAATTTTCAAAGAGGTTTGATTTAGAAATCAGATTTGGATTAAACTTGATAGTAGATAGGTAGATAGTTCTTATTTTCTCAACAGATATTTTATCAAATTTGTAAGTTATGTTATTTTTGTTTGTTTTTCCAGGAAAAAGAGATTCATTTAAGGCTGATCTTATTGTAAGATTGTTGCATTTTCTGTCAGTTAACAGAAGACCTTTAATAGATAAGATAGGAAGGATTGGAATAGAACATTGATGTTTTAGATATTCTCGGGCTTGGATGATAAACTGTTTTGGAAGTGCATTATGTAACCTGTTAAAGTCAAGCTCAGAAGCTTTAAAATTGTATCTTCTGCAGAAATTGTCATAATTCAAGAGCTGACCATCTACATCCATTAAGTGTATAATCTTTATAGAATAATGATTTGTTTCGGTGCAGTATAAATTGATTGTTCCAAATGATTATAGAGTGTGGTGAGTAGTTATGTACATATATCATTTTCCAATACAATAAAATTTGTTTATGGAACTCTGAAAGTTTAATGGGGAGTTTGTTTATATTGTAGTCAGTTAGAAGAAGAATTTTTAAGCCACCAATTTTGTTAAAGATGTAATTGGGGATACTATACCAAAAGACGTCTGGGTGATTTAACCAAAAATTTAACCAGTTAATCTTTAGGGTGCCATTAAGACATTCAAAGTCAATGGCCTTTAAACCTCCATCTTTTTGTCACGAGCATGTGGCGAGGTGAGCTGAGGTGAGGCAAGGATCCACACGCGGGGAGGAAAACAGGCAGGCAGGTGAGAACTTCTAACATTGATTTATTAGAGTCACACGCTGGAACACTGAAACAATGACACGACAGGGAACACAGAACAGAAGGGGTTTAAATACAAGAGGAGCGGGAGCTATGGTGATTGGGAAACAAGAGGCAGGTGGGAGCAATTAACGGAGAACAGACAAAACCTAAGAGTAGACAGGACAGGGCGTGACAGTACCCCCCCCCCCCCCCTCAAAGGGCGGATCCCAGACGCCCACAGGAACAAGGAGCAGGGCGGGAGGAGGGGGACCCGGAGGGAGGGCCCAGAGGAACCGAGGGACCACAGGAGAGGCGGCAGGGATCAGCAGAGTCAGGAGGCCTGCGCCTGCTGCAGATGAGGAGGCGACGGGCCCTTGGAGGTCGGCGCCTGCTGCAGATGAGGAGGCGACGGGCCCTTGGAGGTCGGCGCCTGCTGCAGATGAGGAGGCGACGGGCCCTTGGAGGTCGGCGCCTGCTGCAGATGAGGAGACGAGGACGAACCCTAGGGGGCCTGCGTCTGGGGCAGATGAGGAGCCGACAGTCCCTTGGAGGCCGGCGCCTGGGGCAGATGAGGAGATGGGGACGGACCGTTGGGGGCCGGCGCCTGGGGCAGAAGAGGAGGCGACGGGCCCTGGGAGGATGGCGCCTGCGGTAGAGGAGCCCTGCAGGCTGGGCCGGGGACACAGGCAGGACCGGCGACAAAGTCCCTGCAGGCTGGACCGGAGCGACCTTCAGAGTCACCATCAGAACCGGACATGGAGGAGACGTCAGACCAGACGCGACGTCATCGGACGAGCCGACTTCAGGATGGCAGGCGGCGACGTCATCGGACGAGCCGACTTCAGGATGGCAGGCGGCGACGTCATCGGACGAGCCGACTTCAGGAGTGGAGGCGGCGACGTCATCGGACGAGCCGACTTCAGGAGTGGAGGCGGCGACGTCATCAGACGAGCCAACTTCAGGAGTGGAGGCGGCGACGTCAGCAGACGAGCCAACTTCAGGAGTGGAGGCGGCGACGTCATCAGACGAGCCAACTTCAGGAGTGGAGGCGGCGACGTCATCAGACGAGCCAACTTCAGGAGTGGAGGCGGCGACGTCATCAGACGAGCCAACTTCAGGAG